TTTTTTTTTCGGATTTTCGGATTTGTTGTCAGAAGGGCAAGGATAACGATGTTTCTCGACCTTTCTTGGATGTCCGTGTATCAATAGCCTATACACCTTTTCATTTTTCTCGTGGGTCTCATTAAAATGACTAAATCAGTAAGAGCCGCTTCATTGTCATTAGGGATCCGACTTCCTGGGTTATCAGTACTTCTTTACGTAGACCAATTAAAAATATCATGAGAAGTCCATATTATCCAGAAATATGGCATATGCATTTGATATAAGCATCATAAACGTTTGCTCAAGCCGCACGGTGTACAGGAGAATTGTTACGGAAGTTCACCAGAAGCAGCACAGATCATGCTCTCTGATTCATTGTCATGATCTCTGTTATAACGTCAAACGAGAAGGCGTAGTCCAGAACAAAACGTTTCCTGCAGTTCGATATCTATTTGATCACTTCCCGTAGCTCTCTTCAAGGTACTTCAGATTAGAATCGTTTTTCAGGCATTGTCATGGTGTTCGTAATCTTCTTCTGTATTCTGTGGAATATTCGGAGGAGAAAACAAATGGAACATACTCAGCGAATCTTGGAAAAGGTGAGTTGCGCACACGTAGGGTGGACGCGGTTGCGAAGCGTAGAGACCAGAATAATGCCCTTGGAAAGTCTTGATAAATTAAAGAAGATTAGGCAGTGAGGAGTCCGTTATCAACTTTTTGGTCTTACCAGAGCCCAAATCGAATTTATTTGAGGGAGGAACAATGAAAAGTCGAGAGTCAGGTTACGCCAAGCAGCGATTGTCGAAAGATGGTCTTAGCACGTTGTGAGTTACAGTTGGTAAATGCTCAATCTATCGGTTTGTAATCGTTCTTCTTTAATTTGATTGTGAACAGGAAATAATTCAGAAATGAGAAGGAGCCATTGCGAAATGACTTGCTTGGAACNCGAATGGCACCGCCACTCTACCAGGTACGTTCCAGTCTAGACAAATGGGGAGGTACCAATGGTCTCTGTTTCTCTGCGTGTGAAGTTATGGCATTGGCTTTGGATGGTGCCCAGATATTACAGATAGAGCGGTTTCGGTTTGTGTTGTCACTGTGCGGTTAGTATGGCGCTTTTTGGGCGTGGGGTGACAAGTGGGTGGGAACGGGGTTACATTTGGGTGTAGCTATTTGTCTGGGCTAGGTTCATGGTTGGTTATTCCCATTGAGTTATTTGCATACCTGCTGATCGACCATTATAGTGTTGGTAAGAAAGGCGAGTCATAACGCGGGCAGTTTTATTTGAGTACTACCAATAAGGTTTTAGTACGTCTACCATGTTTATGATGACAGATGGGTGTGAAACCGTTTGCCTCTGTTGTGGTTATCGAGTCAAGTTTTTAATAGTTTGTTCGAACTGTTAGGCATCCTTGTTCTTACGGTATCATCAGACTTTTCCCATCAATATCTATTACAGACACGCGAGGTAGACGTGGGTCTGGGTCCGTCAATGGTACAGCAGCAATATTCGACCGTTTTGGAGCCAACCGAAATTCGTGGACGTGGATTTGTGGGTGCTCCGTCAGTCGAACGACGCCAGTATACCACTACTATGCAGCCTACTGAGATCCGCCGCGAGATTGTTGGGGTTCCGTTTGTGGAGCAGCGTCAATACACTATGCAACCTACTCAAATTCGTGAAGTAGTCTCTGGTCCGCCAGTAATACAGCAGCGGCAGTTCAGCATTGGGCCTCAACGAAGTCAGGGCCTCTTTGAAACGTCCGCAATATAGGTGATATCTGATGTTTTAGCCTTTTTGATATCTAATTTTATGCGTGCAACCTCTATACTTTTTCACATGCACGCGCCTTGCAGGTTGTTAGAAGTGTCGAAACTTAAGTCTTCCTGTTTTACTTCATTCGGCCTGATGAGATCTTTCCTTTTATCCTTTACCCAGTTGGGCTCCGCAAGCTAACCCATGCACCACATGTCCACAACCTCAAATAGAGCGAGAGAAGAGCAGTTGAATCCGTTTTGTGTAGTCGATTCGCCACGCGCGGCAGTCGCGGACCATTCGCCTCGTTATTATGGTTCCATGACTCTTCATACAACTCAGTCGATATGCGATTATTATTTTTGGCATGATTCTAATGTTATCCCTTTGGTTTCCGTATTTTTTAACTGCTGCTGCATTTTGCTACATTCCTTCGCGCGCGGCGTCTCTTGCCTAACGCGATGAGTTCGATCCTACTGCACCACACACAAGAAAAACATAGGAATATTTTTCATTCTCCATACTTCGCAAGGTAGTATACACGATACGGCTTCAGCCAAAATCCCGCTTAGATCCCATTTCTGCAAATCACGCATCAAGAAAAAGGATACTCTTTCAAGTGTTTAGCCATCGGGAACATTCAAAACTTCGCTTCAGTTTAACTTTAAGGAATAGCACATCACAGATGTAATAGAAACCAGTCAGCAGAGTGTTAGATGTAGCTCGATGCCAACTGATGCTACCCCAACTCCTCTTTTTCTTCTGTAGGTTCGATCGCCTATTCGGTATAAAGAATCGAATAATGTCCATCATGCGACAAAAAAGTATTTTATGATTTCAAGTTAACGACGTCACAATTTGGTCGTATTTGTTGCAGGAGCAATGTAAACAGTACCAGTAGTTTCCTTACTCCATACCATGTTCCCCACCTCGCTCACGTATCATTTCACGCTACTACTTGAGTTTTTGCAGACTGTCACACAAAGCGACAAACAAACAGATTCCCATAGTTGACGCTTTATACATATACATAGAGGATGTTTTTGGTGAACCATTGTATTTGTTGTATGCTTGTATGATAAATGTTGTTGTTATAATAAAGGTTCTCAAGAATGTTCGATGAATCTCACTTCCAGGCTGTTTTTCCCTAAGTTTCTTTACCATCCTTAAAGACCGCGTTAATTCGTACCCAACGTTTTATGTTGTTTTTGCAGCGGGGAGCGCTCTTGTTATAACGGACGTAAGAGATCGAAATGGTTGTGTAAATTTTAGAAGTCCATCGTAAATCGAGCAAGATCTCGCTCCGGCTCGCTGAAGAAAAAGAAATTAAATATAATAAAAACAGGTAACAATAACAAAATAACGGACGGACGGCCGGTTCAATTCTTCGATGCGTTGTTGTACATATTATGGGATTGGGGTTGTACTGAAATAAGAACACGTCAAATGGAAGTGAGAAGTGGCCGTATTTGATACCCTTTGCTTCAGGGACCCTCATGGATGACTAGAAAGACATCGTCGGGTCGAAGAACGACCTCGACAGGGCGTTATAATGATTCCAAAACGGTTTGTCCGACGTACACACCCAAAATGGCCATGTAATGACCGCCTTGTTGAGGGCTGTATCATTCATAATGAAACCTTTGATTGCGCCTGCATATAAGCAGAAAAATAAGTGCACTGGCCTTTTTGATTGCAATGCGTGAGCATCCTTAGAGATCAATTCCCTGCAGTATTTCCTGAAGAAAGCTGTGCAGCCGCTTTTCTTTGATAGAGTTAAAATTTCTTAGAAGCTCAAGGCTACAGTAATATTACATGCGTGGATTCCAAGGCCAACTGCCTAGAAATTATGTTTTCAAGTCCACTTCAAAATATACTGATGAATGATGCTCAGAAGTATTGAAATAGTGAAATCCCGGATTGCGCCATGTACTCGATTTCTGTCAATTTTGGGAAGGTTGCGGAATTACCACATCCGTGGATTCAAAGCCTAACTGGCAAAAGAAAACTATTTATTTCAAACCTATTTCAACATATTCTGGAAAGAGACGTTCAAAATCATCAAAACAGCGAGAATCCGGAATCCGCCATGAACTCGATTTTTTAATTTTCGCTGAAGTAATTGAAACGTTACAGGATTAGTACATAGGTGGATTTGAAGCCCAAATCTCTGGAAATTATATTTCTAAGTTTAATTCAACATATACTGGAAAACTACGCTAAAAAGTATCGGAGTTGCGGAAATCCTGTTTGCGCCATGTACTCGCTTTCTGTCAAATTTGGGAAGGTTAGAGAGTTATTACACTGGTGCTCACTGACTCTCATGAGGCAATCAGCCTGGGTGAAGCTAGACCCTTAGAAACCGTATGACAACTGAGCAGCGGAGAAATTGAAGGTCAAAGAAATGGTGAAAAGTTGAAAATAATAGGTAAGTAAGTAGGTAATGAAGCTAAGGAAAAGCACGGAAATGGAAGAGAAATCGGAACATGGAGAGGCTATTGTGTTTTCCTGGCAAAACTATGCTTTGGAGTGATGGGACTTGCTCCCACCATTAGATACGTATTAATGGGTTACCCTATACGGAAAAGTATTTTGTTTTAGCAGGAGGAATTAGTACTTCAGAAGGAATATGTCTCACTTGCACTGCAAGGCAGCACTTTCCCGAATCCCAACTCTCCAGTTGTGAACGTTCTGACAAAAACGATAACATGAATTCCTTTTTTTTCTGCATTGTAATTATTTCTGGATTTAGGATAATCCATTCTATTGCCACCTTCTGCTTTCGGTTAATCCCCACACCAGTTGTAACATAACTTGCCTTTTTACAAACCTGACCCTATCCGATTTGTAAAATATGAAGATACCCTCAATATCTACCATCTACTGGATCTATTGAAAGATTTCCCTGCAAAGTTGGAAGTAGCAAATATGTATGAGAGCAGTCACTGACCATTCTTCCCTTTTCGGCACCGTTGCCAGCGTATAATACGCTTATGAAAATCACTGACTCCCATACTGGTCCTTTTCATAGAACTATAATGCCTTTTCACGAATGGGTTCTATCTGTGATTGTTCTTGTGCCGATTAATACCTTTGGTAAGCTAAATATCTTTTTTCTTGTAAGTGACAGCAGATCGTTCAGTTCGCTTTTATGCATTTTGATGATATTTTCATTTAGTTGATGGCTTCAGTTTCCTACCGCCGTGGCCACCATGGCAACAACAGGTGTTACCATACACCGGAATCGGTGGGTTAAAGTGTCTTCTTTCCATTTTATTACTGTCCGGTTTCTGAAAATTTCGTAGTATCATCGCGATAAAGCAAAAATAGAACAACTGCTTTAACATTTCGCTGAGGCATAACAATGTAGTGCAGAAAATAGATATTGATTGAATGGTTCGTGTAAACGAAGTGTTTCTTATCTTACTTTATTCCGTGATGTGAAGAAAAGCACGGCGAAATCTTTTAGCTCCCATTTTTATGCTGGTTTTGATAAGCTTACCTGAGCTTTTGACATTCTAAAAAGCCCAAAGTCGTTCTATACCGCTATTCTGTCGCAGGACGGCGAGAAGCTTTATATGCTTCATTGCTGGTAGTAATTTACATCATCATTATACCTTTTTTTATCATTAATTTCTGGTGTCACTTGAATCTTGGCAGTTGTTTCGTTCATTCCCTCAATCCTAGAACATACGTCAAACTAAAGTGGTTGTCACAACGCGACTCGGGTAATTCTGAGAAATACAAGGCTGGTACGCCTTCAGTTGGAAGCTGGTTTTTTCGTTGCTATTGTGATTGTTCGATAAATTGTTCTGTTCTGGGTAATCTGTTGAGGCTATGTGAATGAGTGCATATTTTGGCTTGCCTCAATATTACCCAGGATAATAATAATTTCATTGTTTACAATGGAAGTCAACATAACAGCATGTTGGAGTTGACTGCAAACCGCTCTTAACAACAGCCACGCTGATTGAGAATGAGGTTGTGGCATGAGAGTGTTAAGGGTGGAAACATAATCTGACAGCTAGTTACTCAAACTTTTGAGGTGAGGTCGATCACAATTCATATGGCATTATTCAGAGTCCTGCGGAAGTTCACAAGTTGCCACCGTGGTTTTGTTGCTCCGACCCACCCCTTTGGATATCACAGAGGCTAAAGATTCGATGGCGCTGTGGAACTTTGATGCCATCAGCAGGACGCTTCATGATCGAGCAACACAAATAGAAGGCGAGGTAAGCAGTCATCTTTCAAGTAATAGAAAACGAAATCGCGGACAAATGGATCTTTCGTAGGCATATTTCGGTATCTTCAATCGTGTAATGAAGCTCAAGTAGGGAATGCCTTCTTCCCGGTTACCAGTAGCCATCCATACCGATGAAGCAGATGGAGATGCCCTCATCTGCTGGTTTGGTATTTCGAGCAAAGCAAAAATTCTCTTCTGAGGCGATTCACCTCATGAACCTCACAGAATACCGAAGTGGCTCCTGAAAAACACTGGCCCCACTAGCCATGATCGGCTACCTTTTCACAAGTCCACATTATTTCTTCCGAACTTAGCTTCCGCAAGTAAATATAGGATAGAATTTGCTCTCACGTGGCTTGATCCCAGCGATCTGCTGAACACCACTGTGACATGCTTTAGGCGCCTTCGCGAAAGCATTCTTTATTACCAGCTTGACTGAAAAGTGGTCAAAAGTAATTTGCTCCAAATTTCGAAGTCTAAGTGCTTCTAAGGAGGATCCACTGGCTGTTAAGGGGAAGAATTGTGAACAATCTAATCCATATTTCAAACAAAGGAACAATGAAGAGTGGATAGCGCTGACGGCGGAAGTGGTGTAGTGGCAAGAGGCGCACTTCACACNTGCTGGTCACGGGCTCGAAACCCGGATCGATATCAGCCTACGTCAAACAAGCCTTCAGTCCCTCCGGGGC